CAACCCCTGCGCTGTGATCTGGAATGTTTGTGATCCCCCAAAATCTGTATTTTGGAAGGTTACCCCACAAGGTGATGTTATTTTTAGGTGGGCCTCTGGGAGGTGATTAGGTCATGAGGGTGGAGCCCCCACTCATGTGATCAGTGCTGTTATGAAAGAGGCCCCTTCCACTGTGCGTGGACACAGGGTGGAGACGGCCACCTATGAGCCAGCAAGAGGGCCCTCACCAGACACCAAGCCTGCCAGCAAGGTGACCTTGGGCTTCCCAGGCTCCAGAATGGTGAGAGGCCAATTTCGTTGTTTATAAGCCACCCAGTCTATGATACTTTGTCTTCGTGGCCCAAGTGGCCAAACGTCATGAGAGTGCACGGTCGTGAGGTGAAGTCTGAGGCCAAGTCTCCTGGTTTAGGAGAGCAGACATGGAAGAACTGAAGAGAGATACTCATGCAACTTGCAGGAAACAGTTCAGTGAAATGAAGGTGAAGAAGAAGGCTGGGTCATATGATGACATTTCTGAGACTAACTGAAAAGTGTGGGGTGAAGAATAAAGACACCTGAAAGGCTTCATTGAGAAAGCATGGTGCTGGGACGCCGAAGGGGATGGAGCCAGAGCCGGGCGGTGAGGAGGTTGGCGTTAGCAGGGATGGTTTGCTGGAAACCTCTCCCTTTGCAGAGCTGGCGATGCACAGCCATGACGGCCTTCACTATTCAAGGTTCTGTGATAGAGACCAGGGGGTACCTGGAACTGGGCTTAAAAAGACATCGCTCTCTCTTTAAAAAATATTCTTCCATCTTTGAGTGTATAATTTAGTAGAATCAAGTAGATTCACATTGTTGTGTAACATCGCCATCCATCTCCAGACTTTTTCATATTTCCAAACGGACATTTTGCACCTATTAAATCCTTGGTGATGCTGACAACTACCATTCTACTTTCTGTCTCTGTGAATCTGACTATTCTAGGTACCTTATAGAAGTGGAATCATACAGTATTTGTCCTTTTGAGACAGGCTTATTTCACTTGGCGTAATGTCCTCAAGGTTCATCCACACTGTGCCCTATGTCAGAATTTCCTTTGCTTATAAGGCTGAATAATATTCCATTGTATGGTAGGCCACATTTGTTTATCCACTCATCAATGGCATCGGGTTGCTTCCACCTTTTGGTTATTGTGAATAATATTGCTATGAACATGAGTATAAAATACTATATTGCTATGAACATGAGATACATCCTATTTTGTTGCATTTTTTTGACCCTGACAAAATTAGGGCTGAACAAGGTGATTAATTTCTACTATAGAAATCTGAGCATAAGCAGGAAGAACTTGGAATATTCCGTAGTTGGGATCTTAAGAGAAGTAATGGGCATGGAGTTATCTGCCTAAAAGCACACATTTATCCTCTTGGGGCCTCGTCTCCCACAGTCCCTGGCAGAGCTTAATCCAGATTCCCTGGGAAGTCTGATGTTCTGTGAGCTGACCCAAGGTGGTCTGCCCTCATACCAAGCAACCATGTCTTGTCCCCTTTTCACAGAGAAGAGAAAACTTAATGGATAGAATTTCCTCAACTTGTAAGGCTTTTCCCCCCCTCTCGTTGTTTTTCCATTGTAGTAAGGATGCCAACTCTTATCTGTTAGCATTAGCAGATGACAAACTAATGAACCAGCAGCAAATAAATTAATTACAAAGATTTGGCAGCCACAGCAGATAGTACTTATTTCAACAGCTTGTTTTTCTCACAGACATGTGTGCTGGTAGTTGTGATCTTTACAATGCATGACAATTGTAGTCACTTTCTTTTGTAAAAACTGTTTCTCTTTTTGATGATGGAATGAACTTTATCACAATTTTATCATGAACAACTTAAGAGAAAACACTGCGCTCTCGAGTAAACAGCTGGGCCTCTTATGAAGAGTTTTTCCAAACTTATCACTACTACTCCCCTTCCTGAATCCTTGACTTCAGACAAAGTTGCCTAATCTCTGTTCACTTTTGGCTTTTGGTGTTTTGTTTTGTTTGCATAAACCATTCCACCTTCCTGGAACTCTATCCTGGCTCTCACACCTGTCCATACAAACCCCATCCAGCCTTGAACAAACTAGCTTTCTACTTGGTGAAAACTATAAAATCATTGTGATCTCACCTTCTAACTCATATCACCATGCAAGGTACATGGGGAAAAACAGATGATAAACAGCTCTTCAAACATCAGAGCGCATGCAAAACACCTGGGAATCTTCTTAAAATGCAGAGTTTGTTTTGGTGAGAACATTTAAGTTCTACTCTTAGCAAATTTAAATTATACAACGCAGTGTTATCAACTAGTCACCCTATTTTATGTTACATCCTCAGACCTTTTTCATCTTGGAGCTGAGAGTTTGTACCCTTTTTCCATCCTCTTCCTAGGACCCCCACCCCCACCCCCCAGCATCTGTTTTTCTACTCTCTGTTTCTGAGTTTGACTGGCAACCCCTGCGCTGTGATCTGGAATGTTTGTGATCCCCCAAAATCTGTATTTTGGAAGGTTACCCCACAAGGTGATGTTATTTTTAGGTGGGCCTCTGGGAGGTGATTAGGTCATGAGGGTGGAGCCCCCACTCATGTGATCAGTGCTGTTATGAAAGAGGCCCCTTCCACTGTGCGTGGACACAGGGTGGAGACGGCCACCTATGAGCCAGCAAGAGGACCCTCACCAGACACCAAGCCTGCCAGCAAGGTGACCTTGGGCTTCCCAGGCTCCAGAATGGTGAGAGGCCAATTTCGTTGTTTATAAGCCACCCAGTCTATGATACTTTGTCTTCGTGGCCCAAGTGGACAAACGTCATGAGAGTGCACGGTCGTGAGGTGAAGTCTGAGGCCAAGTCTCCTGGTTTAGGAGAGCAGACATGGAAGAACTGAAGAGAGATACTCATGCAACTTGCAGGAAACAGTTCAGTGAAATGAAGGTGAAGAAGAAGGCTGGGTCATATGATGACATTTCTGAGACTAACTGAAAAGTGTGGGGTGAAGAATAAAGACACCTGAAAGGCTTCATTGAGAAAGCATGGTGCTGGGACGCCGAAGGGGATGGAGCCAGAGCCGGGCGGTGAGGAGGTTGGCGTTAGCAGGGATGGTTTGCTGGAAACCTCTCCCTTTGCAGAGCTGGCGATG